GGAGTCCAGCGACATAGTCGTTATGCTAACTGCTGGTCCCAAACAAAACTATTTCTAAAACCCACACAGTTGTCAGATGAGTGGACTGGACAGTGTGTGAATGCTTGGAGTCCCGTTCAGGTTCAGCAATCTGTGATGGAACGGTAATTGGTTCTGAAAGGCTTTGAATAAAAGTGGAAAAGTGGAAAAGAGGACACGTTGACAGCCTCTGCAAAGGCAGAAAGCTTGGGAAGTGCTAGGTGAGGGGGAACAAGGGGGCCTGAGTAAAGAAAGGGAGGCCAGGGGGTCAGCAAGTGGCGTGGTGGTTAAAGTGTTGGACACTCCCACATGGCCAAACAAGGTTCGAGGCCCAGACCTGGTGGCTTACTTTCTCACCACCCCCCTGTGTCACTCTCTCTCTGGTCAAATGAAAATACATGAATGAATAAAAAAATAATTTAAAAAAAAAAGGGAGGCCAGAGGGTAAGAAGGTGGGAGTTACATATCTTTACTGATGGCATCTTAGTGCCAGGGACAGTTTAAGATTCTGATAAGCAGAAAGCTTTCAGTACTTGGGAGTTGATTTTGGGTGATCACATCTCCCTTAGCTGCTGTATGACCCTGTGTCACCCTACTTATGTTTCATTTTCCGATCTGCAGAAAAGGGAATAATTCTTGTTCCCCTGGGTTTCCCCCTAGTCATCAAAAATGAATGAGTTAGGCCACAGTATACAAACAAAAGGAAAATCTGTAATATAAGATAAATTCATAAAAATTGTGGGGTATCTGAGCCTCTTTAGAAAAGCACAGTAAAAACTTTCAAAGGAAACATTTAAATCCACTCATGACCACGGCTAGACGATCTTCATTTTTCCTTTAAGTGGCAGGAGCTTGGAAGAATTAAAATGAGACGGAGCTAGCTTTCAACTGCTTAGGCAATGACAATTCAATTTATGGATTACATAGAATTTTAATTTACTCATTTCACACGTCGTTATCAACTCTACATGAAGTTTAAAAGGACAAAGGATGAAAGTGAAATCGGTCAGTTTTCTGGGTTATTTCCACGGGGGGAGGCATCCAGGGAGGGGGAAGATTTCCTCTGAGACAAGACTGGGGTCGGCCAATAATTGCTGGTATTGCCTGACTGCTAATAACAGGCTGATGAAAAGGTGACTCCAACGTGAACGCTCGTGATTAAACCCAGCGCGCCCTCCCACCCTCCTCTGAGATGAGGAATTTTCCTCCCTCTCCCGCCTGCAACAGAAGGGGCTGAGGCAGCATCTGGCATCATAATACTAACATTTGTTTCGTGATTTCCTCTTTGCAGGGCACTTTGACACACATCACTCGTTAGGAAGCAGAATTCACCGGGACCTTTTTGCATTTCTAAAACGGGAATCCGGGGGCTGACCTTTTCACCGGCTGCAACCCCCGAGGTCTGTACCCCTCTCGCCGAGAAGCGGAGTTCTCCCCGCTCCTGCTCCGAGTCGGCGACTCCCCCACGCCCTCCGTGACTCACGCCTTGCAGAGCCTGCGCCCCCCACCACGCAACGCCCCGGGACCCAGCCCAGCCCGCAGCGTGTCGTCAACCCGCCCCGGCAGCCTCGGAGGTCTCGGGTCTGAGTCACACAGCAAGACCACCCTCGTCGCATCCCCACACACAGCCCCTCTCGCCCCGGCGCGCCCGCCTCCCAGCCCGACACAGCAACGCCCGTCGTCTCCGCGCAACTTGTTATGCTCCAGCTCGAGCCCTTGACCCAAAAACCTCCGCGAAACCGAGAGCCGCGGTTCCGGCCTCGGGCGGCCTTTGATGGCTTTGTTATTGTTTGGGTTTGAATCGATACGCCCCTCCCCATCCTTCCTCCCTCGCCCCCCGCCACCCGGCTCCCGCCT